TTTGATCTTATCTGGATTTTTCCAAGAGAAGTTGCCAGTTTCTTCAGAATCAACTAAATCCAACAGCTCAGACCAGACTTGTACAAGTAGTCCTTGACTTACAACTGTTCGTTTAGTGACCATTCGAAGTTACAATGGCACTGCAAAAAGTGACTTACGACCATTTTTCACACATATGATCATTTCAGCATCCCCATGGGCACGTGATGAAAATTGGGATGCTTGGCAACTGACTCATATTTATGATGGAGGGGTGTCACTTGATGCCCTTTGCGGCCTTCTGACGAGCAAATTCAATGGGCGAGCCAGATTCACTTAATAGCTGCGTTATTAAATTAACAACCGCAGTGATTCACTTAACAACTGTGGCAAGAAAGGTCCTGAAATGGGGCAAAACTCGCTTAACAACTGTCTCATTTAGCAACAGAAATTCCGGGGTCCATTGTGGTTGTACGTCAAGGACTACCTGTAGTCTGTTCCTGGAAGATCTGATTCGAGAACTTCTCTGAGAGGAGTAAAAAGTTGAAACCTTCATGTCCAAGTGGCAGCTCCTATTCAGAGGAAGCACTTAAAATACCGGACAAGCAATAAATTACTTCTAGTGATTTCTGATAGTTTTGGTGAGTGTGTGTGTGTGTGGGGGGGGGAAGGTTGCTTAAACCTTCTTTTTGATCAAACACAATCAGTGCAATCAAAATTTAAAAACTGTAGAAAGTTTCAAAGTGGCCATTCGGACCAACCCCAAATCTCACATTTATCTTCTCACTGTAAAATTCTGTGAAGAAAAAAGTATCTGGATCCCATCTAGAAAAGACATGATATGGTAATGTGATATGTATAATCCTGATTTCACTCATAAATCTTGCCAGACTCCCTGTTTGTTTTTCTGTAGTAAATGTAGGAATGAGGCACATATATGTTTAAACATTTGGTTTGAAATGTTCTATAAAAAGGATAGTTTTCCCTGGGAAAATCTGGAGGGGGCTTCAACCCCATTCCCTCTGAAATGTTATTCCATGCCCTAACAACGTATCTTTTCCCCCCTAAAATGATCTAAAAAGGCTCAAAAGCAGGGGTAGTCAATCTTGGCTCTTTTATGACTCGTGGACTTCAACTCCCAGAATTCCTGAGCCAGCTAAGCTGGCTCAGGAATTCTGGGAATTGAAGTCCACGAGTCATAAAAGAGCCAAGGTTGACTACCCCTGCTCAAAAGTATGTCCTCGGAAGCTGCCCATGTTAAATTCTCTGCTGTTTGGATTGTCCTTGAAGGTGGATGGATGCCTGATTGGGCCACCTGAAGAAGAGTTTGGAGTGAAGACAATAGAATGGAAAACAGAGAAAGCAAGGGCAGACATCAAGCATTCCTTTGTAACAAGCAGCTGCATTCAGTAATCGCTCTGAGTTTAAAATATTATTTAGTTCAGCATCAGTTCAGAACTTACAGAGATCATTTCATGTGAAAGTCTTGAAGAAGGGTTGAAAGACAACAATTTATTTATAATAACTACAATAGCACAGCATTAACAGAGTTCCCCTTTCCTTTTCTCCCCTTTCCTTTTCTCCCCAATACTTAGACTAAGGATTAACCCCAGCTCTATCATAATTGAAGGATTGTAGCTATGCCAGCATGGAGAGTAGGAAGTTGGTCAGGATGAAACCACACAAGCCAACAGTTGACATAGAAATGCTCTCTGGCTCCTCTTCACAGCCCATTTCTCATTTCTGTTCTAGATGTCATGAAGGCTATGTTGGCCGGCGCTGTGATTGCAGGAAAGAGGAACTACTAAGTTCAGAAACTGTGAGCTTAGCAAGTGGGCCCTTCTGCAGTTGTGACAACGTTGCTTGCGAACGACATAATGGGCAACTCTGTGCAGGTAAAAACATGAAGTTTTTTTTAAGATAAAAGGTACTATTACTCAATAAAATGGAATGGAATGGAATGGAATGGAATGGAATAGAATAGAATAGAATAGAATAGAATAGAATAGAATAGAATAGAATAGAATAGACCTTGGAGGTCTTCTAGTCCAACCCCCTGCTCAGACAGGAAACCCTATACCATTTCGGACAAATGGCTGTCCAGTCTCTTCTTAAAAACGTCCAGTGTTTGAGCATTCACAACTTCTGGAAGCAAGTTGTTCTGGTGATTAATTATTCTAACTGTCAGGAAATTTCTTCTTAGTTCTAGGGTGCTTCTCTCCTTGATTAGTTTCCATCCATTGCTTCTTGTCCTGCCTACAGGTGCTTTGGAGAATAGCTTGACTCCCTCTTCTTGTGGCAAGCCCTAAGATATTGGAACACTGCTCTCATATCACCTCTAGGCCTTCTTTTCATTAAACTAGACATACCCAATTCCAGCAACTGTTCCTAATATGTCTTAGTCTCCAGTCCCTTGATCATCTTTGTTGCTCTTCTCTGTACTCTTTCTAGAGTCTCAACATCTTTTTTACATCTTGGTGACCAAAACTGGATGCAGTATTCCAAGTGTGGCCTTACCAAGGCATTGTAAAGTGGTATTAACACTTCATGTGATCTTGATTCTATCCGTCTGTTAATGCAGTCTAGAACTGTGTTGGCTTTTTTGTATGTAGCTCAGGATTGAACCATAGAGGCCTTAGTTTTGTCTGAACTTTACTGATTGCTTGCAGGCATTTAATTTCCCAGGTAGGCAACATCACTGATGGACAAACAGAAAAACAAATAGAAGAATGGACAGAACAACAGATGGACAAAATGTACAGTCAGCTGGCCAGACCAGACAGATGGATGGACAGACAGTGCACAGATGAACAGAGTCACAAACAGAAGGATGAATGGACAGATGGCTAGACAGAAGGATGGATGGACAGATAGATGATAAACAGAGAGACAGAAGGATGAACAGAAGGCACATGGATATACAGATCGGAGACAGATAAACAGAAGGACAGGTTATTGAATAGATAGACAAAGAAACAGGCAGACCGACAGACACACAAAAATACGGATGAACAGATGGAGAAATATAAGGATAGGCAGGTAGAAAAATGGACAGACAGGATAGACAGATAGATGGAGAGACATGCAGACAGACATACGGTCAGGTATATAGACAGATAGTGGATAGATGGACAGACTGCATCAGCAGAGAGTGGATAGATGAACAGATGGATATACTCTGGACAGACAACTGGATGGATGGACAAACGACACATGGACAGACAGCTGTACACATGGACATATAGACAGGAGGATGGATAGACAGACTAATGGACAGACAGGTAGGCAGCAGATGGATGGACACTTAGGTGAACAGACAGATGGACAGACAGACAAAAAGACAGATAGAGAGAGTACAGACAAACAGATGGACAAACATACTGTTGAACAGATGGATAGCAGTCAGACAGATGGATAGATGGACCAACAACAAAGGACAGGTGAAGAGACTGATGTGGATGGACAGATGGATAAACAGAGAGAGGGAAGGATGGACAGACAAAAAAAGAACAAATGGAAGGATGAACAGACAGACAGACAGACAACTAGACACAGGTGGACAGGCAGCCAGAGAAGTAGAAAGACAAGTCTGACACGTAGACAGACAGAGGGACATACAGACACCAGGCAGGCAGACAGACAGATGGGTACCATTACTCTCATTAGCCATTAACTGGATAAATATAAGATACATAACTCACTATCCTTATGAATGTTTCCTTTATGAGGGGGTCCTTGGTGCTCTCTGAGCTTGGTTGTTTTCTTGCAGATGTTTCATTACCCAAACTAAGTAACATCATCACTAACACTGGTGTCTGTATGCCCCTCAGTCCATCTGCCTGTCCCTCTGTCTGTCTGTCTACATATCCTTCTGCCTCTCTGGCTGGCTGTCCAACTATCAGTTGAGTTGTCTGTGTGTGGGTCATTTCAAGCCTGAGCTACAAATATTCTCCTTTATTGTTTCCTTTATATTAATGCATTGAAATTGTTGTATGTGGAGCAGACAGTTCTACTGTCTAGTACTCTAGCACTCAGTTTCCATTAGAAAGAAAAACATATCTCTAGCCTTCCACCTCGTGGTTATGCTTGTAAATATGCAGACAATGCCAGTGGAAATCTGTAAAGCCAGTAATTTGAAGAAGACAAAGGGTTTGTGCATGGGGCAAATAATATTCTATCCTTACATCATTGATGCTGATCTTCATATTAGATAGAGAAGGCAAACTGAAACTGCCTGATGATCCCAGAGATTGGAGGATGGGGGTAAGGCAACAGATAACAAAAATATGGTTGCTGTCTTTTCTGTGCTTTAAAGGAGTATATAGAGACAATAAAGGACATCGCTTATGTTAGAAATTGGGATCTCCTTAAGGGAGCAGAATAAAGAGGCACCAGACCAGTCCACAGAAGGGTTCCACCCCTCCCCTATGTTGTTATCCTGCTTTCCTGCAGCAAAGACCATTTTAGAACTTACACTGCTTATCTAAGTCACTGAAGAGAGTGTACAGTATAATCTGTAACCTTGTGGGCTTTGAGGCTTCTCTTGTAATCATGGTACAGGTAGGTCTTGATTAGTGCTGATAAGGAATTCCACAAAATGGCCACATTATTTAGATTTGCATTATTTAAAGTGATATTTCTGCAGCAAATAAGACAATTGGTTCCAGCTTGATGGAAACAGGCAGTGAACATTTTTAAACATAAATTTGTATATGTTTATCAATGAAATATAAGAGATTAAAACAGTATATTTGCAAATTTACTTTTAACAAAGTCACACAGTAGATATACAGTAGAAAGCATAATAAAAAGAAAAAATTCTAAATATTCCTATTGATAAGAATATTGATTTGTTAATAAAATAAATAAATCAAGTGAACAAAAGACAAACTAGAGGATAAATCCATATTTGAACCGTACCTGTTATCTATTGTTTTTTGCTGTAACTCTTCAGAATGGGCCTCTTCTTCTTTTTTTTTTTTTGTACTTTCCTTGAACAAAACCTCCCTTTTTTCCATTTTGCACACATGATGTATGTGTTAGCATCTAAAACCCAAACAGCAAGGGTGCATGTGCTAGCCTTAACTGTGCATGTGTTTGCTTTACATTAAGTCAACTTTGGCTTGCATTAAATATGACCTGGTATCAATATATAATTTGCACTAAATCAACTACTGCACTATTTGAATTCACACTAACCAGGACTTACCTGTAGTTCTGAATGCCAATAAAAGATACTTGCTGCCTCTTTCTCCAAACTGAAGCGGGCATTTTCCCCACAATTAGAAAGAACTCCACTATGGTGTTTGTCTCCTTCTGCCAACAGGTAACGGGCAGTGCCGGTGTGGCTATTGCCAATGCCAGGCCAACTACACTGGCAGCGCGTGTGAGTGTAACCTGGATACCAGTGGATGCACTCAGGAGGGCAAGATCTGCAATGGGCATGGCCACTGCGTCTGCAACCGATGTCAATGTGACACTGGGTGGTTGGGCGTCCACTGTGCTGACCTCCAGATGACCTGTGAAGCACACAGGTGAGGCCAAGGGGAAGGAGCCAATGGCTGGAGGAGAGAGACTGGGTGCTTGTTCGTGGCAGGAGGGCTTCGTTCAGCAAAGTACATTGTCAGTCACCACCCTGATGACGTCAAAGAGAGAACCATTACCGCGTCCTTTGATTGGGTTTGAGGCCAATGACCCTGCGCTTTTTAATTGTTCATCAATACTGCACAAGAGCACTGGATACTTGCAATGCAAGTTTCCTTGAACAAGCTGTCATCCTAAATCCCTCTATTTAGACTGGAATACCGGTGGGCATTAGCAAAACAGACAGATCAGTTTAAAGCAGGCTTGCAAAAGCTGAGGTGCTGGGATTGACTGAATCTACTGGATTGCATGGTCTCTAGAGTATCATCCCAGGCTGCCATCAAATTTTAAGTGGCAGAAAGGGATGTTAGCAAGTAAACGGAGGGCTACACAAATTTTTATATTCCTAGCCAGGACACTGACGACATGTATAACTGCAATCCTAGCATTTTTCAGAAGATGCCAGCTTCAGGAAGATTTCATTGGGCTTCCCTGTGCTACTACAGGTAGTCCTTGACTTACAGCCAGAATTTCCATTGCTAAACAAGATGGTTGTTACCATCTTTGCCACTGAATGTTAATAAGGATTCATTATATAGAAAAGGAATCTGGGTACACAAATCAAGCAGCATCGGTGCTTGTGTATTTCATAAACAAAACCAGTCAATGTGTCATGAACCAACGAGGAAAAAACAACAACACCTCCCCTCCATCACCAACTGGTTGAACCACCACAGTCACTGTCCAGGTGATCAAACAGTTCTCCATTGGTACTAGCAGTTTTCAGGTGTCTCTGTGGGAGGGGCATTCTTTGTGCTAAGCAAGAGTAAATAAAAAGCCCCCAGTTTAAAAAGCTGTACATCTGTTGGCAGGGATTGTGCCGAGTGCAAGGCTTTTGGGACTGGACCACTGAGTCAGAACTGTAGCAATTCCTGCAGCCAAACGGTGAGAGTGTTGGTGGCCCCTGTGGATAAGAGATGGTGCCAGGTGAAAGGAGGAGATGGACGCCTCCTCATCTACCTCATTGAGAAGGACAAGACAGGAAGCATCCTCCTCACAGTGAATGACCAAAAGGGTGAGTTGCCAAGGGACGAAGAGTGAGCATGTGCTGTTACTCTTCTTTCCTGTTGGGGTTTCCCAGACAGTTGGTTAGACATGCTGAGAATATGTATGTATGTATGTATGTATGTATGTATGTATGTATGTATGTATGTATGTGTGTGTATGTGTGTGTGTGTGTGTGTATGTGTGTATGTGTGAATGAGTGAATGAATGAATGAATGAATGAGTGAGTGAATGAGTGAGTGACTGAGTGAGTGAGTGAGTGAATGAATGAATGAATGCATGAATGAATGAGTTGTATTGGGTTTCTGGTGGGATCCAGACCCAGGATCTTCTTATATGCTAGGCAGCCTGTGATGCTATAGCAGACAAGGGAGGTCTGCATGCTTCTCTGTAAGGAGCTTTGGCAGAATCAAATTTCTAAATCAACTGCATGCTAACCAGGCTTTGTTGAATAAACCACAACTCACTGGATTTTCCCATTGCAGAATGTAATCGGTAAAGAATGACATTTAATGATAATACTAGAGAAATGTCATCAGCAGATAAGACAGCTTCGCAGAGTGACTCTTTGGCCAGTGTTGCTCTCTGGGGAGCAGAGCACTATAACAGAGCGAATATAAGCAGAACTTGAAAAACAGAGTCTCCATCAAATCCCCATCACATTACTTGACAGCTCTAGCTCTGTAGGTAGGTTATAAAATAGGCTTCCCGAATCGATATTCTCCAAACAGACTGAAAAAAGAAATAACGTTTAATCTGGGTACAAGGAAGAAGCTATTCGGAAGCACCACTATGGTAAGGTGAGCACGGATGCTACATAGCAAGGCGCAGGATACATGGCTACCACGGAAGAGAGCAAAGGGAGGAAATAACAAAGGAAGGGAAAGAAGCTTCTCCAATTCCTGGCGGGAGTGTTGGTAACTTAGGTAACTCCCATGCTTCCTTCCTTTCTATCCCGCCAGTGCCAGATTCTACCAGGTGGCCAAACCTGATGCCAGTGTTACTGAGTGCGCTGACTGTGGTGAGCATAGGGGTGCTTCTCATTGCCCTGCCCCGTGGCATTGTGGAGATCTGTGACCGGAGAGAGTTCAGACGCCGTGAAAAAGAACAAAAAAGTGCCAAGTGGTCTCAGGTCAGTGCCCTTCAAAGCATCTTTA